GAAATAAATTCCAACATTTCTCACCTTCTATATTACAAAAGTCCTTTTAATAATTATCTAAATTTTAAACAAGTACTCTTCCCGATCTTATTAATTTCGAACTTATTTAGAGATCAATACGATCGAAAAGAATACTCATTTGAAATCGAAATAATTAATCTTTTAAAAATATGATCATTTGCAATCGATTTTAGAATAATGTCTCTCTCAAAAGTCTACAAATTGTTATGGAAAAAAAAAGGAAGGAAAAATATATCCAAATGTAATACTCGTATCGTACGAAGGAAAGGAGAATTTGAAATTTCAACATTCATTTTCTCAATTTCTAACATCTTTTTTAAAAAAAATTCCAATAGCTTAAATTATGGTTTTAAACAAAAAAAAACAAAAAACAAAAACAAAAATAAAAATACTAAATTTGCTCAAAAAGCCGATTTAAATGCATTCAACATAAATTTAAATCGAATAATTATTTTTTAATTTTTCAAAAAATAAAAATAAATAAATTTAAAAATAAACAAACGAGGATGATTGCATCGGTGATCCATTCCGTTGTTGAATCAATAATGAATGAGTAACATCCTCACCGGAACAATCTTCATTCATCATTATCATTCCGCCACCATTACTCAATTCACCCATCAATATCACGCTTTATCGTATCCTTCGTCCAATTTCTTTGTCTCACTTAATTGTCGCAACTAATAAAACGAACAAAATAATACCTTGGTTGTAGCACTTTGTTCGCACGATTTCTTTTACGTAATTTATGTTTCCTCAATTTCTAGAATAAAAATATACTTTTAATAAATTTAATACTTCAAATATATTGTATTAAAGGTAACGTTGCCAACATACAAATACACACCAATGATAATAAAATATAAATTTTTCGAAAAAAATTCCATTAAAATTTAAAAATTCATTACTTAATAATTTCCGCAAATCCCAATACTACATCAAATGTATTTTATAAATGAAATATGGAGGGAAAAAAAAAAGAAAAAAAAACCAAACTAGCATGAACAAAATGATCCATTCACCATTATAATACATTTGATGCTCATGAGACAGGCAACAACATCAATTATCATTGTCCAATTGAATGGGTCAATTTTCGCGGGGGAAAAATACCTGTCACAATATATTTACCTTTCTTATGCAGTAATTAAGTTTTACATTCATTTCATATTGGTGCAAAATCGTAATTCATTCCTTATTTCATTTCAAAAAATTTCGCTTATTTAAGGAAAAAAAAAACTCTTTTTTTTTCTCCCTTTGTTAAACCATTGGATACTTTAGTGAGACGAAAAGTTTTGTGGTTCAGAATGAAAAAAAAAAAAAAAAAAAGAGAAAAATCTTATTTGAAAATTTCTTTTCTTTGTTTAAATGAAAAATGGCATAAATATGGCAAAAAAATAAGAAAAAAAAAAAAAAGATGAAAGATTTTAAATAATGCAAAAAATTTTGCTCAAAAATGAGTACTTTAATGGAAAAAATAAAAGGAATTTTCTTTTTCTTTTCTTTTTTTCTCCCTTTATAGGAGAAAAGGAAAAAAAAATGATTAACTAAACTATACATATAGCAAACATATACACACACACACACACACATACATACATACATACATACATACACACACACATACATACACAAACATAAACAACTGAATTGCAGAAAAAAAAGAAATAAATTAAATTGATTAATTAATATTCCGTTTAGAATTCTGAAATATATTTAAAATTAATTAAACAATGAAAAAATTTTTCTTTTCTTCTTCATAAAATGCCTAAATATAGTTGTTTAATACAGTAGTTTATTGGGAAATTATTTTTGGAAGACAATCGATAAAATTCGGATATTAAAAGGAAACGGGAAATATGGATATGATGGTTAGGAATTTTTTTTTAATATAAAATTAATGAAGAATTCTTTAATAAAAATCAAAAAAATTGTATAATATTTCAAATGATTTTTAAATAAGATCATTCGGTAAAAAATTTGAGTATCATATATTCCATTACAAGATCTTTTAGTTTTCTATTTAACAGTAATGAAATTTAGAAATTTGATGCAGAACATTACAAAAATATTGATATGTTTTAGGAATGAGAAAAGAAGGTCGCTCACTATTCATTATTCTGGAAAATTGATTGTCACATTTAGTGACAAGAGAATCAATAAATGACAGGCATCGTTTGATAATTTATCAGTGACAATATTTTTCATTGATAAACTATCACAAATGCTATAAAATTTTAAACGCAATGGTAAAATTTTATAATTACACAAACAAATTAATCAAAAATCTTTATTTGGTAATAAAGGTTTAATAAGTGATTAGAGGGAAAGAGAGAGAAAAAGGAAAGAGAGATAAACCGTAGAGGAGAGAAGTAGAGACGTAGTAAAAGAGAGATTATGATCGGCGTATGATAGATTGCATTTCAGTATAACATTGACAACATCATGTTGAAAAGCCCAAATGATCCGGATAATTTGGCTTTTATACCAAATGGACTTTACGATGAACTTGACAAACTTCCACAAAATGAAAATCTTTTTGAATGCTTTTTCTCTCATCTCACTTCCTTTCTACCTTTCATTTATTCATTTTTTTCTTCTTTCGCTCTCTCTCCCGCTTTTTTTTTAAAAAAATTTAAATTAAAATAACAATGATACTGTGGAAAAATAAAACTAATAAACAAAACGAAAAGTTCGATTTAACAATTCCACCAGAGAGAAAAAAAAATTTGAAATTTTAGATAGCAAATGCATTTTATTGTGAAATGTAAATATTCTGCAGAAAGTAAAAAAAGTTTAAAAATGAGAAAAAATGAAGGGAAGAGTAAATGCACATAACAAGTAAATATATATATATATTTATATTTATATTTATATTTGTATTTATATTTATATTTATATTTGCATTTATATTTATATTTATATTTATATTTATATTTATATTTATTACATTTATATATAAAAGAGAAATGGAAAAAGGCTCTTCAGGAGAAGAGAGGGAAGAAATATATTCCTTAATAAGAAGAAGCAAAAAGAGGAAATGGACAAGTAGCAGGACATGAAGGAGACAGAGACAGAAGAAGAGAAAGACAAAGAAAGAGAGGGAAAGAGAGAGATACATGAAAAAAGGGGGTGTGGGTTAAAAGCGTATTTGATTTAAAGTATAATTGAAAATTGTTTGCATTCTCAACCAAAAAGGAATTAATATAAAAGGTACAATAAGTGTGGGCTTCGGAAACTTATTGACATATGATTAGATGAAGGGTGAATTATTTGTCGTTTCTATTTATTAATAAATCATTATAAATTCCGGGGGGAATGGACAGTTGCACTGTTATCGATTTCAGCTCAAATAATCAACCATTGTCAATTCATTCTCAAACCACATTTGCATATTTATAATGCTTAATATATAAATTTAATTACTGGTGATGGTAGCAGCATTTGGCTTAGAAAAGATAAACGTAATCGCTAGTTCCT